GTACTTTATGCGCTGTTATGTTTATGATATACTCGAACTGGTATGATATACACTTTAGTACGAACCAAATCTTATACACCGATGGAGTTTCAACGCAGAAGTAGGTACTAGATTATGATTATAAAGGATTATTATTATGTACCAAATTAATGAGGTTTCCGATCACAGCATTAGTCTATTTTCGGGTAAAATGTATTTGATTACCTACCTCGGTTACGAAGCGGGCTTGTTGCGGTTACACAAGACTCACGACTCTCATGCACACCTACAAGTAAACATGTAAAATAACAATATTGCACTGCACAAGTGCACACATCCACGATTCTATTGAAAGAAATTGCCATTTTATTTTGCAAAGAATCAAACCTCTTAGAAAGTCCACTTAGCGTAGTTTCGCAATGAATTTCCGTCGATGCAAGTTGTTTGGCCAGACGGAGCACAAATTGTGTAAATATGCTTGCAGTTACTATTACCCTATTACATATGTTATGTCGTGTGTCACGACGCTATGTGAATACATCTGTCTTTCGCCGCTAAAAGGTGGAAGTTCACGCGATTTCATGCTCAATTAACTTAACAATACCAAATTATCTATTGGAAAGCGTTTCTTTTTTGTTCTGTGGACACATAAGATGAATAGTCTCATGTTTGAGCTGAAATTATTACGCACATTCACAGACTGTCGGGCTCGATTCGTAAGTTTTTAAAGTGACGCAGGTCCATGTTGCGCAATCCTCGAATAAAAGTTTTGTTGTAGCTTATGTGTCGTTGTTTTTCGTTATTGCGAACGAGGTTTTATTAGTCTTTATAGCGTCAATAGATGTTTACAAAGGTTTTAAGCTAAGCCTTGCCTAGATACAATTCCTTTTTCCCACGTGACTAGAGTTCCTAGATGTAAAATAACCTTTTTGACCTTCACGTCCTGTTCTCGCACGAGTTTGCCTTGACCCGTCTTTACGTTGTATCGCAATAAGAAGGAAAATCTTGTATTTTAACTGTTTAAGAATGGTACCTAAGAAGCATTGGGACGACAAATAAAATAAATATTTGTTGAAGCTATAAAGATCTTGTAATCAATTTTTCATTACGTTTAGTGATTGATTAATTTCTGTTTTGATAGCTTGTTTGGCAAATTATTTTAAAATGCCAATACCGTGGAGGTGTTGTTGAAGAACAGGAACCTTGAGTATTGTGTCTAATTGTGTCGATATTTTGTTGACTGACTATTATCTCCGTGTTTCTTTTGAAGTCTATCGTTCAGTAATTGGGTAACTACAACCTATAACATGTGGAACTTTAAAAGAGTATAAAAAATAAAAATGAAGTTTGGCTTGATGTCATTATTGTATCCGATGCACCAGTGTTTCGCAAAGGATGTCGCTGCATGTCCATCTAGTTCAAGGCGAGTGGGGCGAGTGTTCGATGATCGGGTCACCTTCGCGTATGACCTTTGCGAGACCTCCCTTTCCTTTGAGGAATTTCTACCTGCAAGTTTGGGCCACCACCCGACCGCTGAACTGGTTTTTCCAAGGAAATTTATGACGTCCAATCCGAGACGCAATCTTTGTTCGTATACGGAAAATGCACGATTAATTGACGAGTTTTTTTTCTAGAGTTCGGTTTTTTAGCTGTCTAATTGTTAATATTATGTAAACGACTATCTTATAACAGGACTGGCGATGAAAAGGTCACGGATACACGTGATATATTTGAATTATTTACCGCAAAGGTGACCCCGTTTCCGTGAATTGCATAATAATATTTTAATTAATAGTTCATTACCACATTTTTGATTGGATAGATATCTTCAATCCAAAATTAAATGTACATTTAATAAAATTTATTTTTTGATAAAATGTCTTAATTCATTCCTAACTGGAATTGATGTAAGTCCGCGACATTGGACTATATAAAACTGGTTAACGAAAACAAACATATTTTGCGTGTTAACATGTTAATTGAGCAAGCATAAAATTGAACGAAAACATTTCTTATTCCTGTATTAAAGTATCGTTTTGATAAGAAAAACTGCTACAACCTTTAACATGAACGTATTACTGACAGAAAAAAATACCTGTTTGCTAGGTCAATGGCGGACTTGCATGCATTCGTAAATTAAACATTCCTCCGATTAAGATCGATATTGGAAAACCATTTTATGATTAATTAACCGAAATCGAATCTATTATCATGTTTCAATTTTGAACGCTTACCAATTATAGAGAATGTTGGTATCCGTGAAACAGAAGGCCGATTTCTATTTAGGTACGTAGGTACTAAACAATTACGATCGGTAGATTTTTATTTATGTACCATAAGTTAAGTACTTAAAGCTATTTAAAATGACTAATTAACTGTTGTTCATATAAATATTACACGTCATTATTTATAATATTTCGATATCTTTTCGCGATTATCTGACCAAGGTTTCATTAAAGGTAAAAGGCGTCCATCGAATACAAAATTAATTCAACGATCGACCAAACAACATATAGAGAAAATTTTAATTTTATTTATTTATTTTATTTATTTATTTTTATTTTATGTAGATGTGTACATCCGCAGTTAGTGTAACGTAGATATTTTATATTTCCAGGAAGAAGCCGAGTATGAGGAGGAGGGTGAATATTCCGAAGAGGGTGAACCGCAAGAGGCATCGACTGAGGCTCCGTCATCCACCACTGAGGGCAAGAAGCTAGTTGGCAGCGGCGTGAGGCCGTTCAGAAGCAACACTGAACTCCTTGAGATCCTCAAGAGGAAAAGGGCCCAAGCTGCTGAAGGTTAGTACCTTATTTATAAAAAAAAGATTCGAAGAATCGTTATTTTTCGAATCTGGCAGTGGTTACTACAGACACAAAATTTATGGATACGGAGATACTTCTGTATCGTCCTTTGTGTCTTGAACTATTAAAATGAAGGCATAACTTATCTCAGAACTTCATTTTTCTTAGTTCAGGAACAAATTACTTACCTCAAGCCTGAATAAATTCTATTTTCAGATCTATCGAGATTGAAATTGGTTTTAAATTAACAATAATTTGTATTTGCAGCCAAATTGCACGCTCCCTCGACCACGACATCGTCGCCAGCTCAGGATTCTCTTGATCCCACCAAAATTTCCTACAGTTAGTAGTACTACTTTTGAAAAAATGTCTAATTCATACTCATCATGCACTTTCATTGGCGTCATTTGGGTAACAGGGTTTATATGCACAACTTACAGATCATACTTACCACTTTCATTAATTTAATGGAAAATATGAATAAAACAGCAATTAAAATATCTGTTTTTCAATCGCAGACAACAAGAGTAAGAAGCGCTTTAACAATGCTCCAGTGACCAGGGAAGTCGCCAACGATGAAGCACCAGCTCCGCCCAAGCCAAGCAGAGGTCGCTTTGGAAGGCGTAAGTAAAACTAATGTGAGGACATGCTTAAATAGTCCTACCAACAGTTTCTATTGAATCCAGAAAGTATAATTTTTAAATTTTATAAACTATACCAAAGTGGCCTTTCCATTTTGAAATTATTATGTCATGGATGGTTGCAATAGTCTGTCATTACAACTTCGCACATTTTCACGAAGAAATCGTAGTGGATCATGAAATAAATAAACAATTATGTTTATGACTACCTGGTCATAAATTAAATTATAAACATAATAAAAATCCCTCAAAAAGGCTACCTGCCATTCACGTAAAACGGGAAATATTTTAATAAGGTGTTTTAATCCAATTATTTGACCTTGAGATCTCGTTACTGCCCTTCATCCGCGTTCTGGTGAACGTATTGTAAACAAAAACTACAAGTACCTATCTTTTTTATTGTTTTGACGTGGCGGTAAGGTGCGTTCTTAGTAGGTATTTAGGTACTTTTGTAATTGTGATAGGTTACATTGTAGTTCTTAATACCAAAGTTGGGAGCGAATATACGCCCCGTCATAAGCGAATATACGTTACTCAACTTGAATCGAAGTAAACAGTGATCCATTTCGCGGATAGGCTTACATAATATATATGGCCATAAGCCCCACAATTCAGTACAGATAATCGAGTGAAGTGGTACTTATATTTAGGAAGGTCCCAAGCTCAAGGCCTATTAAAATCAAAATGCTTGTAACTAAGTATTTTTTTTTTCTTAACAGCAGCCACAAGGTCAGTCCAGGAAGAAGAAGAGCCACAAGTAGATGCTGCACCCAAAGTAGTGTCCGGCAGAACGTTCAGGCGAGGCGGCAACTAACTCTTCTAACATTTACAATAGTCCCCTACCCACCATCCCGTTCCCATTATCCTCCCTAATCAAATTTTATATCTGAAGTGTACCACAACCCGTCCCGACTGTAATCTAGAATATATTTGGCAAACGTGGCAGCACACTTCAATATAATGTGAAGTAATTAGAACATTAACAAACATTACATTAACAGCTCTGGACAATCCATTGCTGGACTAAACACCCATTATCTAAAGAGGGGTTTGTATGCATGAAGTACATTACAACTAATTTATAATTATTTGAGCCACAATCACTAATAAGTACTAGAAGATATGTTCTAGGTTACAGTCTGGCAACGGGATTATAAAGATACCTTTTCGATTCCAAATTCATCACATTAGATGGATTAGATTTACATTTTTATACTTGTGTAAATTATAAGTGTAAGTAATTTTTAAATAAAATAATTTTAAATTTTCGATATTAATTTATTGTCTACTCCAAAGGGGGAAAGAGTAAAAACATTAAGAACAGAAAGATACTAATAATAGGTAAATAAAAAAATAAACTCATTGACATAGTTCCTATCGTTATACATACTGACTTAACTGTAGGCCATAGTTTTATCGTATGGCACATGACATTACCAGACAAAATAACCATACATCCGACTCTCAATACTTAATAACATGTTATTACTTATTAACATGTTAACATGTTGGCTTATTATTATAAAATATAATAACTAAAGCCCGTATACTGAAAGGCTACTCAATTGGAAGTAACAGAACTATACTTAAGCGCGTCCTAAAATTGAGGGGCGTTTGAGTATTTGGACATAAGTTACATTTTTTTTCTTAATTGTCATACATGATCTTATAGCAATTAAAGTAGGTTTAAATATAATAACATGACACACAACCTGAGTGCGTGACGCGAGTCAAGCCTGTTGTCAAGAAATACATGCTTTACCTATGTTGTAGTAGTCTTCTTATCCTAACAATGATTGATTGAATTGTAATGTTACATCCTGCGCGAGCGATCTAGAAGCGAACGCGATTATAAAGCAGAGACTTGCGAATTGTCCTACGTGACCAAACAAAAAATGACATAACTGAACGAACTGTCGTATTTGGATGCGGTGTTGACATATTTTTGTTTGGTTATACTGACTGAAACAAAAACGAACGCATTACACTCGCGTGTCACCGCCTCGTAATCGTGATCGCTTCTAGATCGCTCACGCAGGACGTAGCGCAATGAACAATTGGATTACACTGATTTATTATTGTGAGTAACAATAAATCAGTCAACGTTAGTTGCCCATTACCCTAATGGTAGTTGACACTAGTTTATTTAAACTAAGACATAGAAACGTTATATAGGAATGTTGTAACAAATACTTAAAATTAATTACTTAAGCTATAAAAAGTATCGTTGTATCTGTAAACCTACGTACGTATCAGAAGCTGGAGACTGATTTATTGTTCTGCGTAACACAATAAATCAGTCAATAACGTTAGTTGACCATTATCGTAATGGTAATTGACACTAGATTATTAAAACTAAAGGTCATCGCACCCCAACAGGCAGGCATGTAATGTCTACTTGTTTAAGACGCGTGTAACTTCAGCCAGTGGAGTATTGTAGGTGCCAGGTTTGACCAGGTTAACCAACTGTTCAGCAATTTCCTGGCCCACACGTACTTGAGCCTCCTTTGTGGATGCTCCTGTAAAATAAGATAGTATTTGTAAGAATTTGGTAATCATTAGGAAGGCGTTATGCTTAGGAATAGGCGTCTTGCGCTTGATATAGGCGATGATGATGATAAGTACTTATTTACAAGTTCCCATATATCATGCAACAATGTCACATAGGTATTGGCTGCAATTTCAGACTTCGCTTGAGAAATAAAAAAAAACTGATAAAGTCCAATGATGTCGACTACTCGCGAATCGAACCCGAACTACAATGTATAATTAACATTATAATCTTGTAATCTGGCTGGCTACTAAGATTCTTGAAAATCTGTGAGGCACGATGCCCTCTGTCTGTGCCCTTATTTATATAAATATATCTTTAATGCTTATATAGATAAGGGCCAAAATGCTAACATATATCATCTGTGAAAACAACTATGTAACTATTACATCCTGGAGATATAGGCAAATGGATAGAGTAGTCTTAGTTTTAATAAGGTCCCTTTTTGAGTGGCTTAGTGCGAAACACTAAAAGTTCGCACTGGTAGTTGGTCCACACAAGGTTCTCCACCCAAAAGAAGTCCTTTAGTTTATTAAAGGTAAAAAGGATATAGTTACCTAAGTGAGGAGTTGCTATGACGGCTTTGTGCTGAATGATTTCCAAGGTCAGGGGATCAGTGGGAGGCTCCTGCTCAAACACGTCCAGAGCTGCACCTCCAACCTGAATGATATTTTATAGTACAATTATATACAGTTCAGAATAACAAGTACGGTAGACACGGTAAATGTAACATTTTGAAATCACTTGTGTGGAGTGTCTCTCATATGCTTTAATCAATAATTGGGTAAGTACTTGCCAACTGATCAAATTCAACAATTTTTTCGAACTGACAAAAACTACAGTTTTCTATGAATTTTCTACGAGATTGTGTATCGTGAGTTGTGATTGTGACTACGTTTTTTTAACGTCAAATAGCATACTTATTTCTTAAAACAAATGTTGGAAAGATATTAAAATCAAGTTAGGCATAAAATCAATTAATGAGTGTGATTATTTTGTGATATGTTTTTTGTATTGAACAGTCGAAATAATTTTTTTTGATTAAGGAAAGTATCCAATTAAGAATCTTAAAAACTACACTACACTTGCCTAAAGGCGGGTCCACTCAAAAAACAGATCTATTCAAACGGTCATCGGCCCTCCCAGTTCATCAAATTTGATTCAGCTTGCATTCTTTGAGCAATGTCGATAACATTGTTTCTCTATCAAATCACCTTGTTTCGGATTCGATATCGGATTCGATACTTAAAGAGACTCCTCTTAATAATAAGAAATAAAAAGTAATAAACTTACATGGCCGGAGTTCAGTCCATCAAGAAGGTCCCTCTCGTCAATAAGACCACCACGTCCGACGTTAACGATCTTTATATTTTTCTTGCACTGACCGAGTACCTTCGCATTAATGAAATCTGTATAGAAGAAAAATGAGTCATTTAATGACAAAAGCAAATAATTTCAATAACGATTACTGCACTGTTTGAGGTGTTGGTGTAGCTTACGGCAAAAGAGATAATAATCAACGAAAATAATTGCTTATGTCTGTACCTCCTATGTTAAGTTGGTGAGGCACCTATGACCAGAATTTAGTAGCGTTGTCATATATGCGTAAAATCTAAAACCGCTCATGGCGAGGTAAGCAATGATTGTATCGTTCAGCCAAATATGACTGGTTTGTCGAGTCAAGTGGTCACAAGTGCGATTGCCCGGGAAAAGGTCTAGAAATTCTGAGTCATTCAAACAACGAAATTTCAAAATTGTGCTCGTTTATGCCACCCTTATAACACGGGCATTCCAAAATGAGTATTAATTATTCTGTTTTTTGAACACTCGTGAAAAATATTAGATTTTCTTTAAGCGCTGAGAATCATCGAAGAACCATCGAGTCAAGGAAAAACTGTATAGTTAGGACCGATTTTTCAATCGTCAGTTAATTTTATACCTGTAGAATAAAATTGACATTTTGACATATTTTGTACGGAACAATTGTCAAATGTTCAAAGTTATTCTTATGTTAAAATTTATCTGGACTTAATTGACCTTACGTTGTCTAGCAGTTAAAACGGTAAATCTTATAAATATTTAATTTAAATTCAATTGAACACAATTGTTTGCTTAAATTACCTGGTACATTATTTTCATTTATAGCAGCAGGTACAAAACGTAAATCCATTTATTTCTATAATATGACCAATAAGAATCACAGACAGAAAAGTACGTTCAAAAACGTACACTACATCTTTTTTTAGGTCGGTTAAAAATAATATACAATTGCCCTCTAGAGAAACCATTGGTAGTTCTGAAGAGTATCGAAATTGCTATAGGTATGCAAAACGAGCACGAAACTCAATGGTTGCTTCCCGAAACTTGTTTAACTCGTCGAGTACCGGTTTTGTAGACACAATTATAGAACAATAGGTTGCGGTCACCGGTGACCGCTTGGTGTTTGACAGTTTAATCAGTATCACAATAACAAACAAAAAGAATTAATGTGATCGTCTTACGCAAGTTGGTACTTATATAGGTACAGAGTTCAGTTCAGACGAACAACAATATAATAATCAACTCATTTACTAATAATGCACTTTCACTTTATCTTATTCCTTTGAATGAGGTACGATAATAAATACATACATACGTATAAGTATGGTAAGTATTAGTAGATATTGAGTAATTGTAATCGCAAACTTACTTCTTGTCGATTCAATAAGAGGCGTGTGCAGGGTGATGTAATCAGCAAGCGGCCAGATCTCATCCAACTCCATCTTTGTGGCGTGGAATGAGGCGCACTGTTCTGCCGTCACGAACGGGTCGTAACCTATAATCTGAGCAACGTATAACGTTGTTAACATTGAAAATCATTCAAATAATCGCTGTTGCTCCTAATCCTAGGAGTACACTCAACAAATAAAATAATTTCGCTCATAGCAACCAGTCGCATATTACTTGATAAAATAGAACACAATAAACATAAATCAAAAGTATCAATAACAACAAAACGAAACGGAAAAGTAAATGTTATCAGGAGGTTAAAACCTATTTGTATCAGACTATATTTCGTCAGAAAAATCCCAGCAAATTAAATTATCCATTACTACAACTTCCTTATCTTATCTATCGGTCATTTACTCACGGGTTCTCAGTGTCAGTGGAATTTTAATATACTGGCATCTGTTTCATCAGGTCTCGTCAGGAACCGATCGACACGACGATCAATTCATCCAATATTGTGTTTGACCTTCATCCAATTTATCCCAATGTCGCAAGTTAACTAGCGATACATGTCTGCTATATACATCGATGTTAGTTTTCCATGTTGTGGTTTGCTGTCAAAGTGACATTATATAGTTTAAAAATGTCACTGTGACGGCTAAACACGCCACGGGAACTTGCTTTTCGCTGTTTTTCGCATAGACCTAGAAGTAAGGAGATGTGTGTTATTTACCTTCATGCCGAAGGAGTGCATGCGGATGGCGACTTCTCTGCCAACTCTGCCGAGTCCAAGGATGGCGAGAGTCTTGCCGTTGAGTTCAGTGCCGGTGTAGAGGGCGCGGTCCCAGCGACCAGCTCGCAGGGCTGCAGCAGCCGGCACTACGTGTCTTGACAGGTTTAGGATCAGACTGCAAGTCAGCTCGCAAGCGCTTAAAGCGTTGGCTCCGGGAGCACTATAATAAAAAAAAATCAATTTTTAATCCTTCGCTTTATAACACACAGTTTATATAAGATGTAATTTTACCACGTGGACAGTCCCTAAGGGTAGTTCTACGTTCAAAGTTTTCTTACTTGATAACACCGACTCCTCGCTGTCCAGCGGTGACGACGTCGATGTTGTCCACTCCTGCACCAGCGCGACCAACAACCTTCAGGTTCTTGCCAGCTTCTAGAACCTCCTTGGTGACTTGTGATGCAGACCTGACCACTAAGGCATCGTATTTCTGTTGGATAATAAACATATAAAGATTATTAACATAACAATAAAATGGCGTACCGTATTTGACTTTGAAGCTATTTATATCGTCATCTTCTACGTCCTTTGGCAATTTACTTGCATTTATATTTGTAAAGAACAAAAATATCATTGTATCAAAAACGTGTTGGATGATATGTAATTGAAATAGAATGTGACTGCATAAAAAACGTGTTGCAAACTTATGACTGTTGCGCTGAGCAATTAATAGTGATATGTGGAAGCGAGAAAATCAAAAGAATTGAACCAGTAGCCATAATAATAAAAAAATTAAGAGGAAAATCTTAACTTGAACTAGATGCAATTACATGAATATCATAACACGTAGGTAACGTCTACTAAGGAAAAATAGTTAATTGTGCATTAGAACCTTCAATACAGGAAAAAGTTCCACAGAAGTGTAAGAATAAGTTACATCAAAACAAAATTATCACGAAGCAAAAAAAGATTTAATCCACCTGTTAAACGATTTGTACAATCAAAACAAATAACTTTGTACGTACATAGATTGCTATAATCGCACAAGCGGTGCAATGACCTTTTGTCATTTAAGAACGTTGATAATAAATAAAACGTATGAATTGAGACATTGTATGTATTTTTGAACTTTGTTAGTTCGTTCGTTAGGCCTGTGGTTTTTCTTGTGTGACTTGGCCTGTCATGATAGGATCTCCTTTTAAACCTTGAATAATAATTGGGAGACAATGAAAGTCAAATTTTCAAATTATTTTTGTACGTAGTTCAATGAAATTGTGCTCGTATTAGATGCATGCGCTATTTATGATTTTATGTAACATTTTTTTTACAAATTGTAATGTAGTAGACGTATGTAGACGCGGTTATAGAAGATCTTACCGGGATTTCTTGAAGAAGTTCATCTTTGGTGATTTTCGCCTTATTGACAACGCTGATTCCATGAGAATTAAGAATCTCTGTGCAGTTTGCGCCGACACCGTCGACCACCAACACGGATTTGATGTCCATCTTTCAACTGAGAACAAATTACATTACATTGCAAATCACGAGTGAGGATAATTAATTGTACGAAATACAAAACGCACAATTCGCAAGTGGTCTGCAAAAGAACGCTGTACGCATACTTTAAAAAGGTTTGCACGTATAAGAAGGGAGCCAAGCCAATAACCGGTTAGTTCTTTACTAAAACTAAATAACGTGCCTACATCAACACTCAACAGTACATCAACACTCATTTATTACGACAAATATAAAGCAGACCTTTACAAAATTAATATGAAATAGTACATAAGTGTAATTTAAATTGTAAAAAAAATCCAACATACTGGTTTACTTTTACCTGTATAGGGGTTTGAAGAAGTTATGCGTTATAAGCTCACAGTGCGCTATTTACTTACTGTGCGGCCTGTTTATATACAGGGTCATTAAGTTAATTGACAATTACAAAAGAATGCGGTCTAATTTAGATACTAAAAAATATTGTCTAATGTCTAGGCACATGACAGCAATATTCACTTAGGATTCTAATACTATTTAGCTACAAAATATTATATTTTAATTGGTGTTAATACTCACGTAGATATAGAGTCCTGAATGTAGCGTTAACTGGCTGGGTGGACAGCGACTGAGGCTAGGGACAGCGTGTAGCGGTGGGTTACCGATGAGCGACGCTCGCGCCACTTATCTTGGTTAACGTCCAATAAGCGAACGTCACAGCCGGCGTCTGCGCTTGCGTTTTGTATGTTGAGTTTGCACTCGATTCTCAATTCTGATCGACGAACTAAACGCAAAGTCGTGCGGTGAAATTACCGTGTGCACTTCGACAAAAAATACCTTGGTTGGGCCGTGTGACCACGTTCATAATATTGTGTTTACAATAATTTGTTATTTTTGATGATGTGTTTATTGATCTGTGTAGATAGGCTGGTAGGTATATCAAACGAAGCGTGAATTTTATTAGCGCTATAGAATAATTAATTAGATTGTTTTTTACTGTTTGTAGGTCGTATAGGTATATGTTAATATGTCTTGTTTGTCCGTAATATAAAAACAACATTGTTCTCAGCCGTGATGTCAAAGAAGGACGTGGTTGCGTATCAGTCCTTGTTTGCGTAAACATGTTTATCGCTGGCGAGCTCGCTTGCGATTACTCATTATTTCATAATACGATAATAATAAAGTATTGGAAATCGAAAGGGGCATGTACAAAATACCTACTTTAAACTTAAGGTCATATAGTAGCTTTTAGTTGAATAACTATGTTGTTTTGTTTCATACGTATATTATATAGCAATAATGATCGTGTGTATACGGTCAACTAATTAGTCTATTTGAAAACCTAACATGGTGGAGCAGTGCCAGAACACAACAACCTTTAGAACAACCTTTGTAACCACTGTCTCACAATAAAGATCTTTGACTTTGACTTTAAAACTGTTCAGTCTAAATAGTCTAGACGATGCAAAAGTTGTGTGTAGACTGTAGGTATGCTCGAGCCCTAATAGGCTGGACATAAATTTGATGGCAAACAACGATAAGAGATAACAGTTAAGCCAAATTAATTTAGTATCTCGAACATTTTTCATTATTCAACCCGCATTGTCTAGACGAGTGGAGTACCTAACACGTTATTAAATCTTTTGCTTCCTATGAAATTAACTGCTGTCTATGAAAAATCTACAACATTTGTTCATAGAAAAGTAGTCTCTAAACATCGGAAATAGGATCTATTAACCGATTGGGGACTGAGTCTGTTTTAAAACTAACAAAACACAATGTCTTTGTGTGATTCTTTTTTTCATAACTTGCTCATGTTAACAGGTCTATTTGTTATATAACTGCAAATATTTGACAATAAACAAATACTTTCTTGCTCGACTTGGCTGGGGGTGCGGCCGTGACCCTAACATGTCGTCTAGATACTAATATTATAAAGAGGAAAGATTTGTACCTATTTTTGTATGTTTGTATGTTTGTAATGAATAGGCTTAAAAAGTACTGGGCCGATTTAAAAAATTCTTTCACCAATAGAATGCTACATTCTTCCAATTTGACATAGGCTACATTTCATTTTGAAAAAAGAATATGAATCCTTGGTAAAATTTGAACAATGTAACCGAAGGTGTAGAAAAATGAGTCTTAAAATGTCTTTCGTCGATTGCGCTTCCGAAACTATTAGTGATAGAACAAAATAATGTACAACAATATTGAAGAACATCATAATGTTTACAAAAAAACTCCGCGGTAGCATATGTCCAACTATTGTAGTTATGTTACTACAGCAATCCAAATTTCCAAAAATAAATGATTGTCTACCCCGTGCGAAGTCTCCCGGCTTCCCACGGGGAAGACAATAATTTTTTTTGGCGGGCTGCTAGTCAAATATAAAAAGATGACAGAAAGTTCACCGGGTCAGCAATTATATTAAATATGTATATAAACAATAACTCAATAGACGTGGAATATTTTATTCCCCGAAGGGAATTCCCAAAGTATTTCTAGTTACACAAGTTATTTTAGGAGAAAACAAGGCAACTTACGTTATTACGTATCTTTTCATTTCCAAAATATTGATTGACAGTTTCCTGGCATTGCGTAACACCACGACTTTTTCCTCGGGAAAAAAAAAACACGCGGGGTTGGAGCAGATCGTGATGAGCAGCGTGTCTTGGACCTGTGACTTCATCATATGATACCTAGTTAAGAGAACATTCATCTCTAGAATCTTACTAATATTATAAATGAAAAAGTTTGTGTGTCTGTATGTATGTTTGTTGTGTTACCCAATCATATCAAAACATAAGTGTGAATGGGCCGGCTCGACCGGAGTGATACCACGGCCTCACAGAAAACGACGTGAAGCAACGCTTGCGTTGTGTTTCGTCGTGTGTGTGAGGTTACCGGAGGCCCAATTACCCTCCCCTTCCCAAATCTCCCCAATTCCTGAATCCAAAACGATCCTCAAACTCCTAATCCCCAAAAGGCCGGTAATGTACTTGTAACGCTTCTGATGTTCCAGGTGTCCATGGGCGACGCAGATTGCTTACCATCAGGTGATCCATCTGCTCGTTTACGGGCTTATGACATAAAAAAACAGTTGAAGAAATCGGGTTGAAAACGATTCTTGAAATTTTGTATGCAGTGGTTTCAGGAACGATAAATCGATCTAACTAGGAGTCAATTTCAGAATGTGTCGTTTATTAAAAAAATACCGAGCAAAACTCTGTCATCCAGGTACTATTTTAATAACTAGTACCTGGATGACAATAAACCATAATTGGTTTAGGTACATTGAGAAACGATTTAGAAATTTACTATCAAACATAGGTATTTTTATCAACAATTTATGAAAATAAAAATAGGATGAGGCATCAACGTCTTATAGAGTAAGGACATCTATGGCTTGAGGTGATCTGATCACATTGAGGCCTTTCAGCCAATGGAAAGCTAGAATTCATATATTTCGAATAGATCAAAATTCTATAGATAAATTGGAATAAATGTTACTACTTCCCATGAAAGAAATCAAAACAACAAAGAAGTCCTATTTATAATATCTATACTAATGTTATAAAGCTGAAGAGTTTGTTTTTTGTTTGTTTGTTTGAACGCGCTAATCTCCGAGACTACCAGTCCGATTTCAATAATTCTTTTTTTGTTGGATAGTACATTTATCGGTTAAAGGCACGCTACGATCATTAGGAACCGAGCAGAGTGGGTGCAACCGCGCGGAAGTAGCTGGTTAGTAGATATAGTTCATCATCATCAAGGATCCGTAACAGTCTGCTGTTGGAAGGCCTCCACAACATTAGCAGTTGAATTGGAGATCACATTTTAAAGGTTGAGGTTTGACAGAGAGCGCTGTTGCCCTATCAACTCTTATGATAACCTCGGTAAGAGTAACAGTAAGGATAAAAGTATGCAGTCAGTCCTTGGTATGTTTGATATAGCTACAGACGGACTATTAGATCAATCAATAACAAAACGTAGAAGATCCAACAGTCAAACTATTTGTGTATAGTTTTGTTGGACATCACGTTAGATTTATTGCATACCATCCTTACTAATATTATAAATCGGAAAGTGGCTTTGTTTGTTTGTTTGTTTGTTCTGCTTTCACGCAGTTACTACTAAACCGATTGCTTTGAATTTTTACAGACGTAAAGTTTAATAGGGTAATTAGATTAAATAGGGTATAGGGTACTTTTTATCCCGGAAAAATGTGATATTCCCGAGGGAAAACAAAAGTATTGGTATAGATGGCGCTGTGTGTATTGGTATATGTCTCATGGGCTACTTTTTATCCTTTTGTGACGCGAGCGAAGCCGCTGGTAAAAGCTAGTATAAAATAAAATAAAAAGCCTTATATTTCCCATTTTCTTAAAAAGATCTACATTTCCAAAAAATAATTTATATTAAAGGGTTTAGTTTGAGGGAAACCCTTAGATGAAGGTCTCCTCCAGAGAATGCCATCTTTCTCGATCTTTTGCTGTATCTAGCCAGCGTAATCCAGGCATGCCATGTACCTCTTATTAAATAAATAAACAAATAATATTTTGTTAAGGATCTTCAGCAAATTTAAAGAAGTGTAGCTTTCGCTTGATGGAGTGATTCTTCGCACGGTTCTCTGGCCTGTAGTGGGCTGGATGTGAAGTTTTGAACATTGAACTCAAGTCAGGGACATGCAAATGGGATCGTAATAGCAAATAGAAACGAGTTAATGATGAAAGATAACTTTTTAAACAACCTAGTCCTAAAGCTAACATGACTGGTATGAATCCAAAATCTGTGGATCTTTTTAATGAAACTTCACATATATTTTAAATGTCAAAAATCGATCTTAATCTGTCTGAAATTATCAGTATTTGGTGTGAACTATGGATTCATAATTTGCAAGCCCAAGGAATATAATACAAATGTAGTATATACAAAATAAATACTCGTAGAGACGATTCGAATATTGCGTTGAAGCGAGCATGGTATCAGTATATACATATGATATGAAGGTGTGTCCGTAAAGTCAGGTATATAAAAATAAAACAAAGCAGTTCAAATGTTATAATCTTAATTATTAATTTTATTATCACACTTACGAAAGATACAAAAACATATATCACGATGGCACTAGCAGTCAGTGCTTCAGCAGACGTGTTGAGTAATATCAAGGTGATTGTGATGGCGACTACATCACTTACATATTATACATTTAGTACAACTTATCACCAATCATCAATCAATAATAAATACACACGAAAATAAGTACGGTAAAGAATTTCTATTACAATGTCTACGTATTTGAAAAGTCAAAAACATGATATAATAATATTACTCTATTTAGGCAATTTATGAATAGTTCATAATCTAAATTGCTTGAGATAACACACTTTGATAGCTTGCTTAACAAAGCTTGACAGTAATCTCGCAATAGTTCTTAAATAATAGTTTTTACAATTTACTTTACAGAAATTAATTCAAGAGAGAGAAACTTTAAAATGTCTTGACAGCGTTTATATATACCTCTATAGGTACTGTTAATGTTGACACATACTATTTTTATACATATAGATGGAAAAATCATATTGATTTGGTTTATATTGAATTTTCGGAGATTTCCTTTTATTTGGAATCCCGCTCTTACTCGTAACATTATCTACTACTAATATGTACATAACACTTGTAAAATAAAAAGGATACTAATAGAGAGTACC